GCTCGCTCTGGGCCATTATCTTTCAAGCGCCATTTCTCAGATGTACATAATTGGAAACAGACCATAATTTGATGAAGCTCCATTGACCAGAACAAGTAGTATTACATAACCAGAGATTTTAATATAATGTTTTTGATAACACATGTATATTATTCCAGGTTTATTGTAGTTTGGATTTAGGAACATGACTATCGAGGAAATAATGACATTCCTGGTAAACATGAAATCATATGTAGTCTCTAAGATCTCACACAAGATTACCTCATAAAGAATATTAAATATTTAATGTTAAATATTGTAAATGAAATAGGGTTTAACATCCTATATGCACCCTATTATGTACATGGGACCTTGATTTTTTGTTCCACCCGAACAACTATATATTGTCCCTTGCCAGGCCCTCTATCCTTTATGACAAACAATGGGGAACCACCCCGGAAAAGGTTTGACACAAAGAGTAAGCTGCTCAGCCAAGTCTGAAACACCCCTCTCTCTCTCTCTCTCTCTCTCTCTCTAAGCTAACCTGAATTCCACAGACTGTTCAGTTACATATTTATAATGAAAGGATATATTATATTAGATATAAACATGGAACTATTTTAAGATAGACATAATGTCTGTAGGCAGTAGTACTAGAAATCTCTAATTATAAACATATTACTCTGATTATATACAGAGAAACACATAGTCTTTGTTTTACTACTGCCAGAGATAGACATGTTAGTCTGTCTTCATTAGCTCACTTGATTAACCACTGCTAGAGATAGACATAGGTACATGTAAGTCATTAGCTCACTTGGATTAGAAGAGTAATATGTTAAATAAAACACTATTTTATATCATGTGATACATGTATATCCTGCTTATTATACCAAAACAATCCAATGGCTAAATTAGTATGTATTTTAAAGGGACATTAGGTAAGATTAGGTAAAGAGATGACTATTCTCGATATGATAGTTGAAAAAAAATAATGAAAGACTTTACTAGCCTAGTCTAGCCTGGGCTGTCATTACTACCGTTGTTACAATAATAAACAGTCTTGATTATCCACAAAACGTATTTAGATCTACTTATATCGGAGTCTTGTCATGTGAATTAATGTCTAATGAATAATTTATATAACATTTCAGGCCTAAAGAAAGACCTACAATTGGCAGATTTAGCTCTTGTAATGCTACTTTAATATTATGGAAAATTAATATGTTAAAACCCATTTCATGTTAATTCAACAAATGAAATGAAATGCTGAGCTACGATGAGTTATTCTTGCACTTATATTCAACCAAATTATAGACTCATGTACAAAGTTATTGTGACTCATAGAACCACTTGACAACAGGAAGAAAATAAAGATTAAATTTATACTAGATATGGTTGATGCTTGGCCTCTCATTTCATTTCATTCTGTTACAGTAGTCATGGTGACGTAATTATTTCTGTTACTTCAGTCATGGTGACGTAGTAATCAGTTCGTTAAATATTCATCCTATAAGAGCTATGTCATAGTTCAAAGATTAAAGGAGCTAAATCGCTAATATTTGGGACCTAGAAATTGACAAAAATGGGTCGCAACGCATATAACAATGTAATATGAATGTATATAAACTGATTTACATTCAATTGTTTCGGTTTTTACTGTAATTTCTAATCAGTTATGTTCGGCGAAATACGCCAGAAGTCTCATGTAAATGGCAATCTTTAGCATCTGGTTTTTCCAGTCTACACCGATGGTAATTATTGCGCATGCTCTCCAGATAAGAATATAGCGTCACCATTTGACGTGACTTGTGGAATATGTCTAGCCCTGTTCTTTGAGTCCCTTGTTCCAAATGGAGGTGAAACGCATTATGGTACACGATTCGTGTACCAATGGTAAAATGTTTATTTTGTCTTGAATATTGGATATCAGAAGCCCATATTTTCCCTGTAAGATCACAAGACCAATGTTGATTTGAATTGACAAATAATTTGTGTTTTCAATGTCGAAGATTTTTGATGATATTGAGTTAGAGACTTAGCTACTTTAATATAGTTAAAATTTCAGTCAAATTACTTTAGCCTGTTCAAAGTTAAGAGTGTTTGAAGTTTTTTTTAAAAAGTAGACCGTTTATTATTTTAGCAACGGTACTTGATTATCTGTTTTATCAAACTTATAAATGACGGGTTGTTCTAATCTACATGTACTTGAAATTCCGAGGCATCCGATGGTCCAGAGAGTTTATTATAGGCTTGTCATGTTAATAAATGTTTCTATAATAGATTATATAACATTATTATTGAGTGGCATTTAGCGATCAGGGAAACACATTAACAGAACACAGTTTTTATGGGAAGACAATCCATCTAAAAGCAGGAAGTTTCAACAAATATCCTGATTGTTCTTGATAACGATAAGAGGATACTTGTCAAAACTTTGACCTTTTAGAATAAAACTAGTGATTGTTTCGTGTAAAAACTGTTGTGTTAATATTATATAACAGTCAGTAAAAAGACGTGCAATACGTAGATTTATCTTTTATTATTAAATATATAATAGACTGGGGTAATCATTATGATATAAAATAATTAACAAGATAAAATGGTCAGAAAAAGGGAATTATTGATCTTTAGTCTGCTAATGGGAAGCAATAACTGTTTTATTATATAAGTTAAATAAGTACACTGTATCCTGTATGGTTATTAAGAACAATGATATTTACTATAAAGAGATTAGTCTGTTAAGTTAGTACTGGTAAAGGTAAATATATATATGAAATGAAATGAAATGGGGTTTAATGTCCTACTGTTCTGCTCCTAAACTGGGCTAATGAAGACGGGCATATGCCATACAGTGAGTGTGCTATGAGGGAAATTTTGCCCGGGCAGCGGCGCTACGGCCTACTTTTATATCGAATTCCAACTGCCAAGGGATCTTTTACGTGCACGCCAATATGTACACGGGACCTCCGTCCTGCATAACTGACAAGGGAAAACCACGCCGAAAAATCTTGATGAACTTTCTCGGCCAATGCAGGGATCGAACACCCGACCTCCAGGCCAGCGAGCCAGCATCTTACTTACTTAGCCACGTGATCCCCCGAATAGTTTATAACATCACCCTATACATGTATCTTAAAAGATACTTATATAATAAAACAATGATTGTTTCCAATGATAAAAACACAGATTCTATTTCGTTTCGTTTTTTATAGTTCAAAATTTCGTTTTACTTGTCTTTACTGCACTAGTGTCTGAAAGAGTTGTTAACATTGATGTGTTCTGGATGATGTGAGGGATTAGCCAATGCAACGATTTGTTACGGCAAGCTTTTGGCATGAGGTGCACGGATCTGTGGGTAATCCACTAGAAACATTAATGCTGATTGGTTAATCAAATGTCTGATGCCATAGGGTGAAAAGCCGCTCGAATGACCTCTTGACGCGACCTCCCAAAACAACTGGTCAGATTATCATGTAGTGTAGGCGATCGAACTCGAAAGTATAAAAAAACAAAAGGAAATATGGATCTGTTATGTAAATTGTGTTTTGTTAAGGATACAGTTGGCAGTTCTCACAATAATAATTAAAAACTAGATAATGTAAAGGCAATTTCCTGAAAATTTCATTCAAATTGATCCACTATGAACCGAGAACTAAGCGAATGAAATTTCTGCCTAGCCTCGGTCATCATTACTAAAGTCAGTACGATAAACAGCATAGTCTCGATTATCTATTTAATCGTTTAATCGAGAAGGAAAATTATGCAGTAAAATCGGCTCACAATCCACTTAAGATCGCAGGCTAGCGAGGCCATCTAGAGTTGATTATGGTCTTGATAAGTTAATTAATGTCTAATTAATAATTTAGAAAACATTTCAGGTCTAAAGAAAGACCTGCAATAGACCGATTTAGCTCTTGCATAATGTATGTTTAAATTGGAAATCTATACACATGGGTTATAGCGAGTAGCCATCCCATATTTCTCTTATATGTTTTACAATCATAAAGTTGTCATTCAAAGGTTGTATTTTAGTCTGCTCGACTTGCTTTTAAAAATATCAATTCAACATTAAAATAATTACACATCAGTTTTTGAATCCAACTTCTGTAAGTGAATGTTGTAATAAGCAGTTGTCACTGTAGGTAAAAAAAACTTGACTTGAAGTGAGCTATATCTACCCCCTGGTGACACTATATAATATGTTTGTACTTTCCATTTTAATTTTCTAACTATACCTTGTTTTCCATCCCAAAAAATACAAGAAAATTTTTTTTATTACAAGTGAAATTTATTTTAGAACAAATGAATTTTTTTTTTATTACAAATTAATTCTTTTTACATTTTTAATTTCAAGATAAAAAACATAATGTACATGTACTGTACAATATAAATTATATAAATAGTCAAACATATCCATTCATCCCTGTCTCTTAGAGATGCACTGAAAACTTTTGTCTTCCACACCGATCCTTCAGGAAAGGGAAAATTATTTTTACATTTTGTAGACCCTCACCTTCTTTGATTATTATTGGACTTAGAACACAATATATGTATTTTGGGATGTTAATTATCTGTAATAGATAAAATGTATATTTATATATCTGTTATCTGAATATCATCCTTAGATGATTATATAACCTCAATATATTCAACGTCCTAGACCTAGATAAAAAGAGTTTAAATAATAAACGTAGATGTAATGCCATCTTGAACTCCACATGTATACATTGTAAATCAAATATCTTTCAGGCCTCTTGTAAATAGAGACAATCAAGATGGTGACATGATATCAATAGACTATGTCATTAAGTTAGTTGATATGGTTGTTCTTCGGGACTACAGGTTTCCTTGAACTGTTATATAGATCCCACATGCAAGCACATTATTGAAATAAAAAGATGGAAAGATGTACCAAACTTTAGTTCCAAAATAAACTAATTAATGTTAAAGGAACCCCATTTCTGTGTGAGATATCGTTGTCTTTATATGTAACATCTATATTGTTTTATATTTTACAGCTTGATGGCTACTCATTAAAAATGGCTGCTGTTTGATAAAAAAAAAACGATTTTCTAGAACAACGTAATGGGAACCAACTCTTCAATTCCTGAACGAGCTCATGCGGCCTCGCGGTCTGCGTTTGCTCGGATATCATCAAATGCGTATGTTGTCTCAGATAGTGAATTGAGTGCAAAGGAAAAGAAGAAAAAGGCATCAAAATTTGCAACGTTGCGGAAAAAGTTATCAAGAGTGCGTCGACACAGCCGTTCCTTGGATTATGGGAAATCGTTAAAGGAATTATTGTCCACCTGGAATGTTCGCGATATTAGTTCTCTAGTTCGCGAATATGACGCAATGGCAGCGTTAAAAGAATTGGCAATCTCGGCCAATATGGCGAGACCAATCGCCAACTCGTTACGACAAGACTTATCAAATTTGTTTGATTTTAAATTTTGCACGGACGTAGATCTCATTTATAAAGGGGCGTGTTTCCCAGCTCACAGATCTATCCTAGCGGTGCGGAGCCCTTTCTTTAAAAACCTCTTGTCTCATTATCCGGATTACGGCTGTCGAGTTCCTGTCAAGTTAAAAACGCCCGGAGTAGATGTGCAATTGTTTTCAACCATTTTGAGATTTTTATACACAGACGAGTTAAATACTCAAGAACTTACTAGCGAAGGAAGTGAGATTTTATCCAGATTAGCGGAAGAATTTGGAACCCCGAACCCCTTAGGACATGACATGAAAACATTATTAGAAAACGGAGAACTGAATGACGCTGTTTTAGTATTTTCATCAGACAACGAACATGTGGATCCGTTAGCTGCTGTTGCTGATCACGCTCAGAGTATGCACGCGGGCAGTCGACTTACAAAACTTGAAATCCCATGTCATAAAGCAATTCTTGCCGCACGTTCGCCTTTCTTTAGAAACTTAATAATACGACGGGCTCGTTCTGGAGAAGAGATTACTGAGCGTGCTCTTAGAGCACCGTCTCGTATTGTGTTAGATGAAGGTGTAATATCTAGACGATATGCGCGTGTGTTATTAAACGCTATATATCAGGATTGTATAGATTTATCGTGTATTGTACGGGGTAGTTCGAGCATGTGTAGTCTTAGTGAGATTCAAGCTATGGTTGCTAGCGGTAAATATCATATGACTTTATGTGATGAGGCTATGGAAGTGTTTCAAATAGGGCAATTTCTCGATTTTCCTGTCTTGTCTCAAGGTAATTATTTTATTATTCCTTCATTCTGCAAGAAAAAGGGAACCTAGGTGGCTCCTAGCTACAATATTTGTAGCCAAGATAATTGTCTTATTCACGGCTACAATTGAAACACCATTCAAGGCTTTGCTCAAGTAAAATTAGGTTCAATTGAAAAATTTTCAACACATATCATCACAGTTTGCATGTACATAAGTAATTATGTTACAAATAGTGAAGAGTGGAACTTAATCTTATCTTACCGAACAGTTTTTCTGTAATTTCGAGTGACATGAAATCATGTAATTTTCTGGTTTGGCGGCCAGTTTAAAATGGACAGATATTTTGGTAGCAGTCGGGTTTTATCAAATCATGACGAAACCTGCTCAAGGAAACTCCCTAGAATGAGCAATACAGAAGATATTAGTAGTGGAACCATTTCTAGGTGGCTCCATAAGTAAGACACTAGTTCCATAACCAGGATGTTCCTAGTTCAATCTCTGTTTTGGTTGAGAAATTTCCTCAGGTTTTTCTAGAGTGGTGTACCCTTGTCATTGGTACAGGAAGGGGTGTCTGGCAAGGTACAGAAACCAAAGTCCTGTGTACTTGTACATGTACAAGTACTCGTTAACAGTAGGAGTATCTTGATGGTAACACCGTTGTCTTGGCAACATCTTCCTTAAAAGTGGGAAATCAAAGAAGAGTAGTTGGAAAAACACTATCAAAACAAAACTCCCCTCATTACCCACTGCATGGTTAAGACTGTTTATCCAGAAACATAGGGTCCATTTTATTTCATTTCTTTATTATGACTAATGAAAGTACAAATATAAATGTTATCGTCGAGCCATTCATTAGAGCTGGACGATATTGGTAAAATCAATTATCGCGATATTTCCCAAAAAAACGACGATATATCACTATATCGCGATATTTTAGTTTTATTATAAAAAGCTAACGATATATCGCGATATATCACAATATCCCGATATTTTAGTTTTATTATAAAAGATGTGATTATATAAGTGTTAAAAACAGGTCATTCCCTCCCCCCTCTCTTGAACTTAAAAGTTCCGCATATTCAATTGGGTGATGTATTTTTAAATGAACGTACAAGTTGCTGGTGTTGCCGCCTTTTGCAAGTACACGACGCTTGCAAAATCTACATAAAACTTTCGTTTGCGCTTCGTCGTTCTCATCAAAACCAAAGTAGAGCCATATATGACTCGTACAATGTTTTTAGGCTTTATTACTACAGTTCGATCAGCTTGAGCTTCGCAATGTTCCGCCATCTTTCAAAATGTTGAATAACATGTAGGTATGAGTAGACTCAAAGAACCAGACGTAATTTCTCCTATTCGGTACACTACAACGGAATTCAAATTTTAATATCGCGATTTATCGAATTACCGAAAATATCGTCCAGCCCTACCATTCATTGAGAAAGTTCTTTAAAGTGTGAAAGTCTGTATTTGTCATGTTTTTGAATGTAAATGAATATATAACAAATTATGTAATTTAAGGATGTGAAGATATTATCGTAGAGAGTATAACCACAGATAACCTGGTATCTATTTTAACGTGGAGTTCCGAACCACATGGTTCCGTCTGGGTACATCGACAAGCATTACATTATTTAACGGAGGAATATCTACATATAGCTCACTGTCCAGTTCTAACTGAATTATCAAAACCTTATTTAATAGAAGCACTTACTTCAGACTTTTTACAGGTACGTATATAGTTTTTATTTTATGATCAGTAGTGGAATACCGCGTTTTATCAGTGAAATAAAAGTGTTATTCCACTGGCTAGTTGTTTTTACCTAAAATGATTGTAAAATCATAAAATAAATAGAACATTTGTCGTTTTGTCGTGAATTACATATTTTATTTCATCTCTAAGCAAGAAAAACGTTTATATTTTCACTCATGCTACGCATTCGTGAAAATATACGTTTTCTTGCTTCTCGATGAAATAAAATATGTTATTCACTGTAAAACGACAAATATCCTCTTTGTATTCAGTTTTTGGAGGGGTGGGGTGGGGGTGGGAGGTCTAGCGGTTAACATGTGTGCATGAAATCATAAGGTCTGTCATTGATCAAGTGGCATGGTTTCGATTCCCTGCTTGTATGTGAAAAGGACTAAGGGGCACCTGTCCATCCTCGTGGGTTTTCTCTGTTTTTCTCCTACTGCTGAAGACATTAAACCCCCTTAAATCCCTTTTAATTCTCTCTCTGTACAGTTTCTTTATTTTATATAATTAGAGGTGTACAATATTTGAGTTAGAAGTCGACATTCATCAGATTTTTTAATAATTTAAGTTATTACATGTACATGACATATGTGTTGTTACGGCTATTCAATAGAATATTATTTGTTTTTATCGTGCTATACATCCAGGTCAGCTATTCAATATAATATCTGTTTTTATCTCGTTATAAAGATACATCCAGGTCAAGTTAACTGTAATTTAAAATAGATTAATTCTACTCAACCAAGATGTATTTATTCTAAAATATATGAAAAATCTTGTACAAAATTTTTTATTTTTTGTTTATTTTACGATAATAAACAGTGTTAAGAGAAAGACGTACATTAATCTATTTTTATTGAGGATGTGAATCACTATAGGTTATATCCGTATCTTGTCTTTGTTTCGTTGTCGTTGACGATAACACCAATCCAACTACCTGTTAAACTTACCTTTTATCTCAATACATGAGTTTCAATATGTAAACAATCACCTGACAAGAACAAACAAAGAGTTTAGAATGGAAGTTTTTGTCTTCATGAATAAAGAATAAACATGACGAGTAGTTGACCTGTCAACATCTCGTCGCTCAATCACCTCAAAGACCCCAACAAACTAACACTTGCAGTCTAAGTGGATACTTTAATTTTCTATGCAACTTTTTGAATAGAAATAATCTTCTTCTTTTTTTGGACTGTTGAAGTTTTTTTTGTTTAAAGTACATGTAGCTATGTCTCTAACTCGATATCATCCAAGGTCTTCGACATTGAAAACACAAATTATTTGTCAATTTAAATCAACATTGATGTTGTGATCTTACTGGGAAAAGATGGGCTTCTGATATCCAATATTTAAGGCAAAATAAACATTTTACCATTGGAACACTAATCATGTACATGTACCATAATGGGTTTCAGCGCCATTTGTAACTAGGGACTCAAAGAAAGAAGCTAGACATATTCCACAAATCATTTCAAACGATGATGCTGTATTCTTATCTGGAGGTCATGCGCAGTATCAGTGTAGACTGGAATAACCAGTGCCGAACATAACTAATTAGAAATAACAGTAAAAACAGAGACGATTGGATGTAAATCAGTCTATATAACATTATTATATGCATTGCGACCCATTTGTGTCAATTTCTAGGTCCCAAATATTAGCGATTTACCTCCTTTAAGACGTTTTGATTTTTACCCATATTTTTCATTTTTATACGCCCACATTGAAATGTGGTCGTATATTGTCGTCGCCCCCGTCCGGCCGGCCGGCGTCCACAATTGCTTGTGGACGCTCTAGAGGCTAAAGTGAATATCTGATTGACTTTAAATTTATACACAGTGTTTAAGGTCTTGCGACGAAGAAGCTTATTGATTTTCAGCGATTTCCGATAATTATTGCCACAGTTATGGCCCTTGATCACTTTGAAAAATCTTGTGGACGCTCTAGAGGCCAAAGTTAATATCCAATTGACCTTAAATTTATACACAGTGTTTGAGGTCATGAGACGAAGATTCCTATTGATTTTCAACGATTTCCGATAATTACTGCCAAAGTTATGGCCCTTAAGTTATCATCCGATTGACTTCAGATTGATACACAGAGTTTAAGATCTTGAGACGAACAAGTATATTGATTTTCAATGAATTTTTATGACTTGAACAGTTAAATCTATGATATTAAAAGCTTTGCATACAAAACGTTAGCATGGGACAGAACTTTATAAAAACCAAACAAATTCTAATAGTTTTCTGATAATTACTTCGTGAGTTGTTGCTCTTAACCAGATTTTAGTGTATTATAAATGTTTCATTACCGAAAAAAGTAAAAATATGCGACAACCCTTGTTGACTGCCCGAACGATTTAGTTGCTGTGGGTGTATGTTTCGTTGCCTGGCAACCTATCTTATAAATTATATACACTCCCATCTTGACATTTATGATTAAATCATGAATCAATGATTTTGATTTTAGAAGAGGTATAATAAATGAAATGTATATATATATATTATTTTATTTTAGTCTGGAGAATTAGACGTACTTACATCCGTATTAAAATGGGGTGAACATCAACTTGTTAAACGTATAGAAGAAAGAGGTAAATAGTCATATCTTACACCATTCATATCTTATGGTCTGTCGTCATGGGGGTGGCATGGTCTCTAACGGTAACAGAATGCGCTGTAAAAGATAAGGGATATCTTGCAGATTATCAATGTATACAAATATTTCCTTGCTATCCATCATATTAAACTTATGCTGTTTGTTTACACAGTTGCGAACAGACACTAAGCTAGTTGACCGACATTTTAGTCAAAAACACTAAGTATGTTTGGAGAATTGTGAGAAGTATATATTCTGCTTCCATTTGATATAATTGAAAACGTTTATTGAGTGTTTTTGTGTATAACGGATGTGAACCGGAGTAAGATCATGTTACAGAACTGGGCCCTGTTTCTCGAAACCTTAACTAAAGATAAAATCCAAATTTTAGTAGACACTTCAATTTTGATTGGCTAAGCACTAAAATCAACCTAATATTATCCAATCAAATTACTAAAATTTGAATTTTATCTTAGTTATAATTTCGTGAAATAGGCCCCAGTATACAAATTGTTGAATATGGTGGCCATTTAAGTCAGAGATCTATTCTTGAAGTAGATAGCTATTCATAATCTAGTGTTTACTTTATCTTTTATTTTCTGACAAGGACAGCTGTCTAGTTGTTCGGATGGGACGAAAAACCAAGGTCCCGTATACACATTGGCGTGCACGTAAAAGATCCCTTGGCAGTTGGAATTCGATATAAGATTAGGCGGTAACGCCGCTGCCTGGGCAAAATTTCCCTCATAGCACACTGTATGGCGTATGCCCGTCTTCATTAGCCCAGGTTAGGAGCAGAACAGTAGGACGTTAAACCCCATTTCATTTCATTTCATTTATCTTTAATTTCAGAGCCAAATCTACTTAGTCATACAGCTCACAGTGTGAGTAAAAAAGGCGTAAAAAAACGAGATTTAAACGATGTAGAACTACGGGAAATACTAGCAGACCTTTTACCATTGGTTAGAATGGATCATGTGATACCCTATAATAACGATATATTAAATAACGCTATTAAAAGGGGTTTGGTTAGTACGCCTCCCTCTCACATGTTAGGAGACGATATACCGACCAATAGAACATGTGCTTGGATTCGAGGTAGAAATAACGGTATATTTGTTCGACCACGGCTGTTTACACCATACTACGAAGAAGCAAAGGTAAATAGATGCTAAGTAGGTTTTGTCTCCGTCCGCCTGTCTGTAAATTAGACCAGTCAATTTATAAAAAGAAAAGGAGTCAACCCCTAAAAAAAATTGCAAGACGAGGTTTTTTTTTTTATGGTTTCTGGTAAAGTTAGGTGTACTGAATGACACCTTAAAAGTTTAGGGGCGTGAATGGCCGGTTGTTAGCACGTTGTATAATAAGGTCTGTCATTGAGTCAACTGGTGTGGTTTCGGTCTCGGGTTGTACGTGACAAGGAGTAAGGTCGCCTGTCCAACCTCGTGGGTTTTCTCCGGATCCTCCGGTTTCCTCCCACTGCTAAAAGACCCCCACCACAAGCAAATTATTGAAATATTTGAGGAGACTTGGATTTGTCTCCGTCTCTCTGTAAATAGATATTAAGTAGGTTTTGTCACTATGGAAATAGATATTAAGTGGGTTTTGTCACTATGGAAATAGATATTAAGTGGGTTTTGTCACTATGGAAATAGATATTAAGTGGGTTTTGTCACTATGGAAATAGATATTAAGTGGGTTTTGTCACTATGGAAATAGATATTAAGTGGGTTTTGTCACTATGGAAATAGATATTAAGTGGGTTTTGTCACTATGGAAATAGATATTAAGTGGGTTTTGTCACTATGGAAATAGATATTAAGTGGGTTTTGTCACTATGGAAATAGATATTAAGTGGGTTTTGTCACTATGGAAATAGATATTAAGTGGGTTTTGTCACTATGGAAATAGATATTAAGTGGGTTTTGTCACTATGGAAATAGATATTAAGTGGGTTTTGTCACTATGGAAATAGATATTAAGTGGGTTTTGTCATTATGGAAATAGATATTAAGTGTCGGTTTTGTCACTATGGAAATAGATATTAAGTGGGTTTTGTCACTATGGAAATAGATATTAAGTGGGTTTTGTCACTATGGAAATAGATATTAAGTGGGTTTTGTCACTATGGAAATAGATATTAAGTGGAGCTTTTTTTCTCTGTCTATAAATAGATGTTGGTGTGAGGACATTGTCTAGTAAAACACACACCAGCATCTGTTCTCCTGACCGATATTATCTCCAATTCCAACCTATATATTTGTCTATTTTTGGATAAATTCCGATTTATTATTTCTATGTTTGGTAGCCACAGTAGCTCAATAATCAGATTCGATCGCAGAGCCCGATGATGGTCAAGAAATATCCACAGGATTTTTCAGCATGGTATCCCCCTCCCCCTCCTGTCAATGGTGCATTACAGAGAACCTGGCAAGAAACAATGTCCACAACATTGACAGTTGGATTTAAATTTGGGGGTTGGATGGCTGAATGGTTAGCGTGCGCGCTCTGTATCATCAAGTCTGTCATTGAGTCGACTGGCGTGGTTACGAATCCCCGGTTGTACGTGGCAAGGAGTAGGGTCGCCTGTCCAACCTCGTGGGTTTTCAGCGGGCCTCCGGTTTCCTCCCACTGCTAAAAACCCCTTACGCGAAAGCGAATTATTGAAATAAAGTTAAACCATATGTTAGTCCCGAAATGACCTAGTTTGTGTCGAGTGGACGTTAAACCCCATTTCTCTCTCTCTGTCTCTCTGGATTTAAATTTCTATCTGGACAAAATTTTGTTATATCAAACTTTTCATTATCCCTGTTGGTGAGGAAAACCTTGAAGTTAAATTTGATTATCTTTAAACAGGCTATATTAGAAGAACAACTATCACAGGCCCAAGAACTGGATACAAGTAGAGTTAGAATGATTCACATGTCAGCCATACCAGATACATTATATATGATTGAAGATCGACCTTTCTCATTGCCTTATCCTACAACACCAGCTTCACCTGTTGATATTATAGCAGGTACAATACCAGGTAAGTGTATATACTAAATCTAATTTACTAAATACAGGTAAAGCTAAATACAATTTACTAAATACAGGTACAGCTAAATACAATATTAGGTACAGGCAGCAAACAGATGGATGATATAAAAGTTTCTGTTTCTGGGTTCGATCTCATATCTCGGGATTTTCAAGGTTGCTTTCCTCAAGTCCGAGACGGATAGCCAAGTAAGCCAGTTGGTCACATGGGACAATCTGTATACTCATATGTTTGTGGGAAACTTCCCTCATAGCCGAGTGCATCGCATATACAAGTCCTAATTATTTATTTCGTGTAGGAAATTGGAGTTGGACCCCATTTCATTCATTTTGGGGGTAAAGTGTTTATTTTCTTGAGTATAAAGTGGCTTATGTCTTTATTTTCTTGAGTTTATTTTCTTGGATGTAGAGTGACTTGTGTGTTCATTTTTCTTGAGCGTAAATTGAGTTGTGTATTTATTTTCTTGAGCGTAAAGTGACTTGCATATTTTTTCCTTGAGCATAAAACGACTTATTTGTTTATTTTTTTTAGCGTGAAACGCCTTTTTCGTTTATATTTTTTGAGCGTAAAGTTACGTATAAGTTTATTTTCTTGAGCGTAAAGCGACTTGTTTATTTAATTTTAGAGTAACATGACTTCTGTGTTTATTTTCAGTGCCTGACCGAAGTACAATGATATTGATGATGCACCGAGAACAAGAATTACGCAAAAGTAAACTTGCTCAGAGAGCGTGTTCGTTACCATGTTCCGATAAACGGATGGTTACGTTTAATATACAATTAAAAGTTGTCCGTGAGTTCGGTTTACCTGATAGTACGGTGGAAGTATTACAGAATAGTCAGTACTATTATCCACAGAACACTCAATATATTCAACATCGTTATTATCATCATCATCATCACCATCATCATCAGCAGCGTCATCATTCACCGATACGTGTCAAACATAGTCCTACTTCCTCACTATCACCGTCTACTTCATATAGTCCAGGGGAGGTAAGTCTGTTATTCACTGTTTTATAGATTTTTCTTTGAGTCAAGTGGCGTGGTTTTGGGTACGGTTGCCTGTCCAACCATGTGGGTTTTCTCGGGGTTTATTGAAATAAAATTAAACCATATGTTAGTCCCGAAATGACGTATTTTGTGTCAAAAGGATGTCGAACCCCATTTCTCTGTCACCTATAAGAATGTCCAGCCATTTCATTGCCTAAGGGCTATGTGCTATGATTTTAGTGCTCAGCCAATGAACAATCTGGTACAACCCTTCACAGTTGGTGGAAAAGGCCACTGTCCAGACAAAATTTCTCTTATTGCACACTGCAGGGATGGCCTAGTGGTCTAGAGTGTCGTGTGTCGACCTCTAGCTGGCCGGTCACATCTGGTTTGTGGTTATGGTTTCGATCTCTGGTGTGAGAGAGAGAGAAATAGGGTTTAACGTCCACTCGACACAAACTAGGTCATTTCGGGACTAACATGGTTTAATATTTTTTCAATAATTCACTTGCGCTTAGGGGTCTTTAGCAGTGGGAGGAAACCGGAGGACCTGGAGAAAACCCACGAGGTTGGACAGGCGACCCTAATCCTTGTCACGTACAACCGGGGATTCGAAACCACGCCAGTTGACTCAATGACAGGCGTTATGATACAGCACGCACGTGCTAACCATTCGGCCATCCACTCTCTGGTGTGAGAGTACGAGGCATGGAGATAGCAATAGGGGCGCCTTCTCAATCTTGTGGGCTAAGCTAATTAAAATGAAAATTAGACAACTTGTCTGTGATATCACACTCGATGAAAGTATACGTTAAACACTAAGAACAACACTGTATGGCGTGTGTCTGTCTTTATTAGCCCATTTAAATTTACTTGCCTCAATATTGAAAGAATAAAACTGAACCCGTCAACATAAAGGTCCTTTCTTTCACGATAATAATATACGATGTGCTTTAATAATAATTTTTTTTTTTTGTGTGTTATTTTCAGAATGAAGGAAGTAGTGATAGTGTTTTAAGTGACGTTATGCCTGATATTGCCATGGCAACCTCATCATTAAGTCAAGCTCACTTACATGAAGATCTTGAGCTGGATATTGGTGACGGTGGCAGTCGCCATGGTACCCTATATATTTAAACTTCCTTTTTTTGTCAGTTGTCTCCCTTCTTCTCCTTATAAGGGCAACAAGCGCCCTGATTCGGTGCCTGGCTATCCGAAACAAAGACCAAGTGCAATTTGTTGTACATAAGAAAACTAGAATTATTTATGTTTTTTTTTATGTTTATGTAAATGTTGTTTATACATCTTCAAAAAATCAAATTTGGTCACAAACATCCTATACCTTGACTACATTAGCTGCCGCCACATACATCCTATACCTTGACTACATTAGCTGTCACATACATCCTATAACTTGACTGCATTAGCCGCCATATACATCCTATACCTTGACTACATTAGCTGTCACATACATCATATACCTTGACTGCATTAGCTGCCACAAACATCCTATACCTTGACTACATTAGCTTCCGCCACATACATCCTATACCTTGACTATATTAGCCGTCTTATTCGCCATAAATATTATCTGTATTGCTTACACAATCCAGTGTCAGTGGTGCCTGACATGGATAGCTGTCTAGTTGTTCAGATGGGTCAAAAACTGTGGTACCATGTACACATTGGCATGCATGTAAAAGAACCTTTAACAGTTGGAATTCGATATATATGCCCGTCTTCATAAGCCCAGTCAGTGCAGGAAAGTAGGACATTAAACCCATTTCATTTTGCTTTTTGGAATATTCAAATTCAAACTAACATTTAGTTTCATCTAGTGGATGTTTGATCTGTTATTTGTCTTCTATGAAATATTTACTTTGTATATATTTGATATAGATGGAAGGATCTCATATGAATGTTGCCAGAAATATACAAATTGAAATCAGCTAGTATTGAAAATTAAACATAGAAAAATATGTTGAATTGAAAATACTAAGACCTTCAAGAAACGGGAAAATGTAAGCAGTCCAAAAATTGTCAATTTTTAAATCGAATATTCAAATAGTAAAATCATCATTGAATGTGACCATTATTTTACACATCGCACCAACCATAGTGTTAAAGCGAGAATTTCATATTTTCTAAGAAAGTCAAAACATAATTATTTCTATGTCTTTTGCTTAATAGGTTATCAACTCACTATTATACGACCATGGGCATTATTTCCCACCCTTAAAAATCATTGACACAGGAAATGATAACAAAATTACCTCCCTTGTTTTCCTATTGTCTCCATGCATCAGCTAACTTCAAACATTGGAATTTGAAGTTGAAAATGATTTTTTTTCCAATTTCTCAGCTGGCAATAGCGAATTATAGGATTAATAGGATTATTCTTTAACAAGGTAGGACTTTTTATGGATACCATTTATTTTAAGGCTTTATTTTAATAAATTTTAAAAATATAACATAAAAATATGAAATTGCAGCTTTAAAGTCATCCTGCAAGAATTTCATTCAGCCATTATATTTCAAAATTAGAAGACATCCTATTGATTCTGGTCAACAAAAGTTAATTAAGCATGCACTACCAGTCCTATTTTGATATCCAGTTTATTTTAATAGATCTTATATAATCCCCATTATGATAAATTCAGCTAATGTAGTCAAGGTATGTGTCATAATACTGTTAACCCTTGAGCAACTGGACCCTACCTCTCTAATCCTCCATAAACCTGTGTCGCATGTAATTATGAACCGATGAATGTTTTAGGCCATCGAATTTGGGCCCTGAATTAATTGGGCCCAAGGCGATTTGGTCCCCCGGGCGAATATGGACAGCGGGCAAGGCTGGGTATCCTGATAGTATTATAATGTGACTGGGGAGCAGTAGTTTCAGACAGATTCTAAATGAGCTACAAAAATCACTTTTCTCTCACTTTATTCAGGGAATTGGGGGTAGTCAGTATTTAGATGTACAGGGTCCTAAAGGGTTAATGTCAAGTCTGTATTTGAATGTACAGGGTGCGAAAGGCTTAATATCGAGCCTGTATTTAAAATTATTATTAGTGTTGTCAACATTACAGCTTTCGATATGTGAAAAAAAAATTGTTTGTATAATAGATAGTCGTGTAGAGTTTCTCAGAGCAGCATTTAATAATTGTAAATAATCCGCTAAAATTTTCTATTAAATATTCTTATGAGATACCTCTTCATGAATTTTTTAGGATAATTTTTAAGAGTAAATTTAGATATAAGTGCTCTTACGATCTGATTTTCTGATTTTCAAAATTTATCTTAATTTTAATATTTAAATGATTTATTCTAATTCTTCCTTTGATAAAAGTTTTACTCTTTTTTTTTTTGTTGAGAAATATGAATTGTTGTTTATTCTGGATGTAGTTGTAACGTAGATCGTTATTTATCGTAGAAGTGGTACTTGTCATCTGAAACAGTTTATTTAAATCTCAGTCATCAGATGGTCTAGAGAGTTGATTATACGCTTGTCATGAGAAGAAATGTCTAAATCATAGTTTATATAAGATTTAAAGCCGAAAGAAAGACATACAATGGGCAGATTTAGCTCTTACCTAATACAAATTTATAATATAGATTAATTATACTTAATGGTCTACATCGAAAACATTGTTACTTGATGTGATTCCTTCAACAACCAATGAAATTTTTAAATTATATGATTTATATTATAACACTTAACAAACTATCCATATCATTTTGTTTTATATTTAACTCAAAACTTACATAGTTATACCAAATATACCCTCCATAGATTCAATCTGATTACAGACATTGATTAATCAATCAGCATTGACGTTTCTAGTGGTTTACCCACAGTTCCGTGCATAGCACGCCAAGAAGTCGCTGTAACAGATGGTTTCATTGGCTAATTAACCAGAACGCGGCTTATATAACAACTCTTCCAGAAATATAAAAAACGAAACGAAATAGGATCTGTGTTTTAATCAGATTGTCATAGATTTAACCAGTGGTGGTTTAAAAACCCGAGTTCTGATGCTGCAGCCTTGGTGCTTCTACTGAGGCCAGCTTCCAGAGATTTACCCAGAAGTGGTTTAAAAACATCAGTTCTGATGGTACAGCTCTGGTGCTTCTACTGAGGTGAGCATCCAGATAAACCCAGTAGTTCTGATGCTGCAGCTCTAGGGGCTCCACTGATTAAGTGTAAAGTTATTTTTGAATCCTGAATCAAAGTATTAACACTCTAAATTATGTATTTAAAGTTTGAATTGTAAGAGATCAGAAAATCTTGATTAGTGTAAAAAAAATTAGCATTTAAGATAGTTTTACTAATTGTAAGTTTTTTATATCATAACTGTTGTAATTTAATTTCTCTGAATGAAAAACTCAGCTAATTAAGAAAAACCTCTCTGTCTTTTTCTGTATCGACAAAGTGATCAAAAATTTATTAAATGTAATTTTTGTCCTGTTACTGTAGATTGTAATATAATTTCTCTAAATTAAAAAACTCAACTAATTAAGTAAAACTTCTCCTCTGTCTTTTTCTGTATCGACAAAGCGATTAAGAAATGATGAAATGTATTTTTTTGTCATGTGAATGTAGATTGTTGTAGAGCCATTTGTGATAATCTGATCAAGAAGATGAACTTGTTTGTAAAAATCAATTGTTGCTTTCACTACAACCTGAGTATCATGTAGTCGAGTGGTTTTAGCACGAGTTTCTCTGTTTAATGTTTAGTTTCAATCTATTGTTGGAAAACTGTTCAAATTTCTTGAGAATCATAGAAAACTATTGGGTTTCTGCTGTCACAATGGTTAGTTTCAAGCAATTGTTGGCAACTTGTTCAAATTTCTTGAGAATCCTAAATATAAATATTGGGTTCCTACATGTACTGTGGCGTACTCACTCATTCTACTAGAATAAATATCGGGTTCCTACTGTTGCGGGGGATTGGATGGCTCAATGGTTAGCGTGCGCGCGCTGGATCATAAAGTCTGTCATTGAGTTGACTGGCGTGGTTTCGAACCCCGGCTGTACGTGACAAGGAGTAGGGTCGACTGTCCAACCTTGTGGGTTTTCTCCGGGTCCTCCGGTTTCCTCCCACTGCTAAAGACCCCTATGCGCAATCGAATTATTGAAATTAAATTATACCATATGTTAGTCCCGAAATGACCTAGTTTGTGTCGAGTGGACGTCAAACCCCATTTCTCTCTCTCTGTCTCTCCTACTGTCGCGTACTTTCACTCTGCTACACCGTGACGACTATACGATACCCAGGTTATATTGTTTTATTTCAGTGTTTATTACATGTTATATATATATATATATTATATATCTTATATCTTATATCTTATCTAAATATATTTGTATATAAGAATTAAAATGTTCCCCCCATCCCCCCCTCACCCCTTTATAGTCCTTCGATAAATTTTTATTAATAATTGTACATTTTGTTACTGTCAGTGGCGTACAGAGATAGAGTGATGTCCGGGGCCTAAATCTTTGATTAGTTTCCATCAAGACTTCAGTATAGGGGCTAACTAACTAAACTTCAGTATAGGGGCTAGTACTGAGAAAGGAAGACATTTTAAACTTGTTATTCAAATTAAGAAGAGCCGTCTATACAACAAAGTTAATAGCAAATAAATTCAAATTTCATAAAAAAAACTTTCACTTTAATTAGATTCTCCTTGATTGAAATCTCCCTGGAGTTGGATAGCCCCTCCCCTCAGTTGGATAGCCCCTCCCCTCAGTTGGATGCTCCCCTGAAATGGATGCCTAGGCCTCTCGCTGCTCTGCCCCCCATCTCTGTATGCCACTGGTTACCATGACATTATTTAAAATCCTGATATAGCAGACGGTCTAATGTACTATTATACTGATTAAACATATCTAAAGATATAAAACCACACATTGTTTAAAGGTCAAAGGTCAATCTTAAAATACAGATATAAAATCATCCATACCATTATACATTATTTATATTAGATGAAATATTGGACTCGCATGATGATTTCATTGAAATGTGGGATAGTGTCTGTATTTTTAGTTTTTTAATAGTTTCAACCACTCTTAAAATACAGATCTGACATCATGCATGAATTAATGGTATAGGCATTATGTCGATTGTGGGGTGTTTACACAAGTTGGCTTAATGCGATGACATCATAGTAATGGATGCCTGTGGTAGTATTGCGATGACATCATAGTAATGCATGTCTGTGGTAGTATATCTGTATTTTAAATTGTTTAAAGATCTCGAGCTAGACATTGCGTAAATATTGATGATGCTGCCCTCGTGTAGTTTCAATATATTACGTAATGTCTTTCTCTCTGCCTTAAAACAAGTCATAAACCAACAAGTAGTCTATTCTAACCACACAGCAGACAAATTTAGGTCAATTTTTAATATTGTTTAAATGATTTAAGTAAAGAAACAGTTTTATGTATGAAGACCTGTACTTGATGAATGTATGTGAATTTACAACAAACATTGTAGATAAACCACATCCTTATATAGAAGGACTTTAAATTATTTAATATGAAAACATTCTTATTTTTTTTAACATAATAGAAGTTTTTTTAGACAGTGGTTGCAAGACTTCCCTTGAGAAACAATTGTGGTCTGATTCCACGAATCAAGAGTTATTTCCCTTATTTCCCTGGACCAACTAGTAGGATATTCGATTAAACGTTCAATAATTGAATTGTCTCAATCCCACACACAGTGACAATCGGGTCAAAAGAGGGATTTTGGGCTACAAAGAAATATTCCCAACCGACCATGGCAGACGATTCTACCGATACTCTGTTTTGCGGACTGACAGGACTGCATTCCGCGTCATCCGAATAACAGTCGAGCACCTCAAAGATCTGGAGAAATTTAATTATATATTTAAAACCGGTACTCGACTTCCATGAAAGATTAAAAGACGGGGTGGACTCGTGAATAGAATGTTCCAGTCCGAATGCTAGCTCGAGCCAAGAAGAATCTGGATTATCCAAATTCCCACTTATCTGGGGAACTACCAGTGGAGCTGACTGACCCCCCCCCCCCCCCGGCACCCCTAAGCAAGGGATTTCCATCTATTTGTGTGTATGTAACATAATCCTTTATCATAGTAATTCTACTGTTCTAACGTCCTACTGTTCTGCTCCTATACTGGGCTAATGAAGAAGGGCATACGCCATACAGTGTGCTATGAGGGAAATTTTGCCCGGGCAGCGGCACTATTGCCTATTCTTATATCGAATTCCAACTGCCAAGGGATCTTTTACGTGCATTCTAATGTATACACGGGACCTCGGTTTTTCGTCTCATCCGAAGGACTAGACAGCTGTCCTTGTCAGGCCCTGCATCACTGACAAGGGGAAACCACTTCGGAAAATCAGGATGAACTTTCTCTGCCAATGCAGGGATCGAACACCCGTCCTCCAGGCTAACGAGCCAACGTCTTACCCACTTAGCCACGTGATCCCTCACATGCGTTAGTGTGGTCTTCTAATTTCTCAGACATGAATTGGACGGCTACCAAAATAGCACTTATTAACAATAAGTGACTGTTATTGAGAGGTAAACATTGTATTGGACCTAATTATAGAATATTACAAGTAGCGTAGCTTAAAGGGACAATAACACTCTTGCTGGCTTGACAGCTCCAGAAAATAAAAAATAGCCTTAATCTAAGTACTGGGTGTGTTAGTGTCCTACCTGTTGTGTAAATTATCCATTAAATCCTATTTTACTTGTCCAGAGGGTTCAAAAATATTTTTAAATCCAAGTCACATTTGAAAAGCTTTACGTCAGGCTTTTCAAATCATTTAGTTGAATTTTTCTAATTTTTTAAATAAGGTGTGTTAAGATGAAATTTGTATCATCAATTAATTGGAATATTGTAAAATATTGCAATTTGTTGACCAGAATAAAGATTGGGACATATTATCCAGTTACAACAAGAGTGGTATTGAGCCTTTAAACTTTCAGAAAATCGAATTTAAAGGGCGTTTGACTCTATTTTTTGGAAACTTGAAATATACGAAAACGGTTCTAAAAGCACATGTTAATGTAATATGAATGTATTTAAAGTGGTTTATATTCAATTTTTGATACAGAAAATTTTGTAATTTCAAATCAATTATGTTCGGTGAAATACGTGAACAGTTCAAACTGAACGACAGTCGTTTACGCCTCAGTCGTTTACGCCTGCTTAGTGCATTCTACACGTTTTTAAATTATTATTTTGTCGTTTGTGAATCAGCCTTTACTAATTACTTGATATTGTGT